CAATAAATGCTATTCACCACATCAATAGACTTAAAGACAAGAACCATATGATCATCTTGATAGATGCAGAAAAAGCATTTGACAGTATAAATGACCCTGGATTTACCAATATTTCACTTTACATTAATATTGCTTCACTATTAGGGAAAAGTTCTGGGAACTCTAGACCCACTGAAAGAGTCATTTTAGGGGTGTGTGTGTGTGTGTGTGTGTGTGTGTGTGTGTTGCAGAAGATAGAACCCACAGCCTTATATATGCTAGGAAGTGCTCTGCCTCTAAGCTTCATCCCCAGCCTCACTTTGTGAACTGTTTTTAACAGTTTAAACACTTGGGGAGAATGCTTTTTATTATGGTGACAGGTGATTTTTGGTTTTGTTTTTGTTTTTTGTCTGTATCTTCAAGTATGGGAGTATGCATATGTGTGTGAGTATGTGTGTGTGTGTGTGTGTATGTGTATACATACACATATATAAACACATACATATACATAAGTATAAATTATTTGTATTTATATATGTGAATTTTAAAAACTGTGCTCTTTATTTTGGACTCTGATTTCTCTAGGTCAGACTTTAACCAACTTTTAATATTTATATATTGACTCACTTCATTTTTTAGGAGATTTTATGAAGATGGAGCAATTGTCTTGGGTGAAGAAGCAAATATGCTTGCTGGCATGCTGCTTGGACTCAATGCTATTGATTTCAGGTACTTAATATTTAACTAACTGAATTCAGTTTTTAAATTACCTCATGACAGTTTCTACTTACAATTTTTTCTTTCAGTTTTCTAAATAAAATACAAAGTTGATATTTGGTTCATGTTGTTCCCTTTCAAATCCATTAGTTTTCCAAATGAGTTTGCTCTTAGAAAAGAGACATTCTCAAATTTTAAGARCTGACAGACTTGCCTTCTAACTTGGACAAATGAAAGTTTATAGACTATACCCCTTAAGCAGTCCCCTACTAGCACTGAGGGGAGAGCTCAAATCTTAGTATTTTTCAGCTACTCTTTTAAAATGAAAATAAATACATTAAATGTAGTCTCAAAGGAAGAAAGATTCTAGCAGGATATCTTGGGTATCTTACATTTCTTGTGTTATATATTTAGAATATCAAATAATATTGTTAATTTTTTCTTTAATTATCAACAAAATAAAATTGTTTCAGATTAAGACCAAATACTAAAAATGGTAWTTGTGCTTTCTAGATGCTTAGAAGCATCTTTTTATATTTTTTTAATCAAGCCCATATTTTATGTATATTTTAAATCAAAGTTTGTCTTCAAGAAAACTCAAAGACACAAATGAAGGAAGCACTATATTTTTATTGAAATATACATATCATTTGAAAATTCAAGAGTATTAACAAAATAAGACTGAAATGACTTGGTTTTTACCTTCATACACTTTTATATTTGATCAAAGCCGTGTACATCCCATTTACACATGTTCAGGATTAACATGGCACATTTTTCAAGCACTCTCAGCACTTTCACAGATACTGTATCACTAAATTCATTCCCACTGTTTTTATAATGAGGTTACAAATCATGCTTGGAATTTCTCAAAGGAATACTAGGCAAATTTGCAAACAAATCATCCAGCAGATGTTAAGATTTGCTTTGCAGACATTAAGCATACTCGAAGGTAGTTATACATTGGAGGTTTTTCACTTAGTTATGGGGGAGACAGTGTCTGAATTAGATAAAGTCTAGATTGTAGAAAACTTTAAAAAGCACTATATTCTAATTCTCAAGTATTCAACTTATACTAGGCACATTAAAGTGTTTGTCAATTAGAGACTGAAATGTCTTTTAAGTCTTGAATTAAAAAATAATTCTGCCATTTTCTTTTTCTAGTAAATCACTCTTTTCCAAATATTTGACATAAAAGAAGTCCAATTTTTCTCTATTTGTACTTGTAATAAATAAGTATTCAGTTAATTAGTTAACTTTCTTAGAATGAATATGATGGTGGAGCAGGAAGATTATCTTTTTGGGCCTTTTAAGAATGTTAACTTTTTATRTGACAGGTGTTGGCCTGGCTTAAATATTTTGAAGATGGGAGTTTATAGATGATTTTTTTTCCCTTTGCAGATCAACTTACATCTACACATTCCTATTTATCTTTCTCGAAGATGCTCTTTTTTCTTCTAATAATAGTAATAATAAAACCAAACACCTTTTGTGTTATATTTTTATATGTGCATCATATAAAAGTAAAAATTACTCAATTGGGTAACTGAAAGATCAGAATTTCCTTTATTTCCTCTATGAGACTCCTCAGTATAACTTTCAGTAAGTCACCTAATCTTTTTCTTGTTTATAATTTCAAAAGAATTGAATGGAGGACTTTCAGCATCCTTTGTAGGTCTAAGATCTAAGCTTTTTCACCATTTGGATAGTTTCAGAAACTCTTTGTTTTCTAACTAATCAGATCTTTTTAAGGAATATACATTGTCACCAGAGAGTTTATATCTGAATGTGAAAAGCAAATCCTCATTTGAAAATTCTCTAGTGACATGTTGAAAGCCTGAAGACAAAGATATTGTCAAATACAGAGAGTTTAAGAACTTTACTGTTGCTACTTGGTAAATTATATAACAGGTATTAACTTGTACAATGCTTTGTCATTGTATTGAAGGTAGAGTAATTTTTAGGTATTTATAATAATTTTGATAAAAGAAATGTCTCTTATTTGTAATACTTAACTTTGATTTAATATTTATGTATTAATATGAAATATTTATTGTTTATCATCTTAGCTTCTGCCTGAAAGGACAAGGATTAGATGGCAACTTCCCTGCTGTAATAGACTATACACCATATTTGAAGTTTACACAAAGGTACTTACCATTTTGAAAWGTTGTTGACATCTTAGTTTATAATTGTATGTTTTGTGCAGTAGTCATCTGTTTTAAACTACTTTATATAAAACATTTGTTTCAATATCAGAAAATACTAGAGTATAAAATTCAGTTGTATTTTTAGTATTTATGTAAATATACATTTTTATATAATWGCAATTCTCGTAGTTTTTACATATAAAAGCATTTATTGATATTGCTTTAATCACCATGTAATAGTAATAACTGAAATTGCCCTGCAGTAGTCCAGTGAAGTTTCAAATTTGTAAGTCACTAGATACTTTTCTATTTTACCTCCTTTATAGAGAATAATGAATAGYATTGTACAAATCAATTTGCCTTTTGTTTCTGTTGTAAATTTTCAACAGAAAATTTATTTTAAGAAAATTCAATGAAAACTTTGACTCTTAAAAAATATGCTTATAAAAAAGTTGTGCCAATTTATCCTCCTATGATTATTGTGTAGGCATTCTAGATTTCCCACAAATACAATAGCTTTGAAATTAATCAGATGAAATATATATACATTTCCAAGTTCTACTAGAAAAACTGATCTCCTGGCTAGCATGGTATTCTTTATATACTTCTAAAATGTTATAATCAAGGCAAAATTGTAAGCTACTCTGTATGTGTATGTGTGCGTAAAACATGTATATATGTAACATGGGTGCATACATACATACATTCAAGAATGTATGAAAGGCATTTTCCTAGAAGCCAGGGACACATATTAAAAATAAGTGAATTTTTGATACTTCCAAAAAAAGCCAAGATAACCACCACCTAGTGAGAGATAACACTTAATATTTCAGAGCTAGGTGTTTGACAATATTTTRGATGGGGAGGGAGAAAGAGAAATAGTGCATTATGACAATTATCTTCATCGAGTAAGTGGATCCTTTGGGAAACAGGATACTTCTAGTACATTAAGTGTAGAAGCAAGAAGATGTTTTGAACAGACATACAGTTACAGTATTTTGGGATATGTTAGATTATGTACATTTTGTGAAGATGTCTAGTAGTTCAAAATAATAATAGTAATTATTACTGGATGTTTATTATATATAAGGCATTTTTAAGAGCTTTACTTCTGTTAATTAATTTACTCCTTAAAGTCAGTGAGGTAGGCATTACTTTCCTGATTTAAAAATAATAAAACAGGAACACATAGAACTTAAAACATATCATATGGGTGGTTTTGTTTTGTTTTGTTTTTTTGCTATGCTGGGATTGAACCCAGGGCCTTACATATGCAAGTACTCTACTACTGAATTAAATCCCTGCCCTAGACATATTTTTTTGAAAAAAACCTAACTAGAATAATATATATTTTATGCTTATACAGTTATCAAAATGAAATCTGTTATGTATAATTAGAATCAAAAAATAGAAGAGAGAAAGAAAAACAAACAAACCCAATTAGGTTCCTAATCTAAAAAAAAAATCATCAGATTCTCACTTTCCACCCCAAATTAATTTATCTAGAAAGTTATATGTATTCATTGAAGAAAAATTAGAAAATACAGAAAGGTAAAAGAAAACAAGTCACCCGTTATCTACCTTCAAGAAATAGCTTCTAGTTGGGCATGATGGTGCATGCCTGTAATACCAGTGACTCAGGAGACTGAGGCAGGAGGATCATAAGTTCAAAGCCAGCCTCAGCAACTTAGTGAGGCCATAAGCAATTTAGCAAGACCCTGTCTCTAAATAAAAAATATTTTTAAAAAGGCTGGGGATGTGGATCAGTGGATAAAGCCTGGATTCAATCCCTAGGACCAAAAAAAAAAAAAAAAAGAAAAGAAAAGAAAGAAAGAAATAGCTTCTAGAAGCATTGTTAATGTTTTGTGAGGTAGTTTTCCAGCCTCTTCTATGCATACACTTTTTTTCTTAATAAAAAATTTAAATATAATATACGTGTACTGATTTTTTTCCTTTAAACAGTAAACAGTTTTACTTGTCATTAGCTGTCTTTCTACAACATTGTTTCTTAAAATGAACAGAATTCATTGTCTATGTAGGATGTTTGCCCAGTTATTTTGGGACTTTTAGGGTATATTCAGTTATTTGTTTTTATATGCAGTATTATAGTTAACATCCTTACAAATTTACCTTMTTATATAGATCTATGATTCTTTTTCCTCCTTTCTGCCCTCTTTCCCTCTCTTCCTTTATTTCTTCCCTCCCTCTCTTTCTTCCCTCCTTCCCTCTATTTCCCCTTCTTCCCTTCCCCTTCATTCCCCTCCTTCCTTCTCAGGACCTTACATATTCTAGGAAAGCAGAGTGTTACTGAGCTGCATCCCCAACCCTTTTTCATTTATTTTGAGACAAGGTCTCACTCAGTATCCCATGCTGGCCTTGAACTTGTAATGATCCTGCCTCAGCCTCCCAAGTAGCAGGGATTGCAGTGCGCACCCCCAGGAAATGATTATTTCTTTAAATTAAAATGATAGACAGGGGATTTCTGGAATAAAGAGAGAGAGAGAAAGAATATGAATATTATTATTAAAGCTTTTGAAATACACTGTAAAATTGCCCTCTAGAGAGCTCATACCAGCAATTGTTCCCTTCCATTAAATACCCCTATTTCCTATATTTTCCACGTATTACACTCTGAAGACATAGTGGAAAGACATGATCCTGTGTTCATGCACCGTAAATTTGCTAGAGTGCTTAATAGAACTYGGGGAAACACTTTCTTAAATTTACTGGCTTATTATAATGGATATTCTAAATGATATGGATAAGTAGCCAGATGAAGACATACATAAGGCAAGGTCTGGGAGAGCTGTCCTGTCCCCATGGAGGTGGAGTGTACCACCCTTCCAGAGCACTCGGGCAAGTTCTCGTTTACCTTCTTGTAAGCCTTCATGTGCTTTGCCGTCCAGAAGCTCTCCAAACCCTGTCCTTGTGGAGTTTTGTGGAGACATCATTGCTTAGTCATTTTTGAAGTATGGCCAACTATGTAGACATGGAATTGAATAAAGAGTATGATCTGATGCTGACAGAGTGGAGAACCCAGTGAGACCTATCTTCACAGTCTCCTTGGCCTCTCTTTGCAGCATTCCTTCCTCCCAGGGATGAAACATGAAGCAAGACCTTTTCTGAAATGGGGACATTATCTGACAAGGCAGGTCAGAGAAATGCTTTATGGCAAGCTCTAAGACAAAGGCACAGGACAGAGTTAGGGCATAGTTTTAGTTTCTGTGACCCACCTTGAGGAAGAGAAATTCTAGTTTCTACCACAGGTGAAAGAAGGGCAGAAAAAGATCAAAGAGAAAGAGATTTGTTTCTGAGGCCTAAAATACCTTGACATTATAGCAAAAGACTGTCTTTCACCTTTATGACTCTGAAGCTATTCCAGAGCTGCTTCAGGAGCCAAGGACAAAAAGCCAGGTACTTTAACTTTATTGTTCTCATCATTTTGGAAACAATAAGAGCTGTGGAAGTTATGAGCCAGGACAAAAGCCAAAAAAAAAAAAAATATATATATATATATATATATATCAATATCATAGTATCACAGCAGCAAATAAGCATGTTGTTACATTCCCCATTTTAAAAACAAGACTTTTTAACCCCACATTTACCTGTGACTATTTCTCTTTTCCCTCTTCTTTTATTACAAATATGTCTCTGTTTTTATTTATGGTCCCTAGTAGTAATACTTAGTCCTTAAAAGGACTAAAGGAAGCACCTGGGATTACTGAAAAGTTTCTTTCCACCTAATGAGGTAGTCTGGCAGTTTCCTAGTTTTGTATCTTGGGTTCAGTAGAAATATTTCTTAGTGGTATGTAACCTCTTGATGCAGGGTCTGGGTTTCTCTATAATAAATACCTTTGCAAAATGCAGCCTGCAACTGCCAGAGTGAAGCAAATGGGTAAGTAAAACTGTCCTGGTGAGGGAGCATTTTCCTATAGAAGTTCAGTCTTGATGAGTCAGTGTAGAAACTAAACTCCTAGGAGGGCTACATGATCTCCTGACAGGATTTGCCAGCCACTTCTGGGCAATGATATCAGCATTCTTTGAGGTAGCAGGTTGGATGCCTGCTTCTGATGTATTTGGGTGAAAAGCTGAGTCAGCCAGCARGAGGTTAGATGATTAAATAAGAAATAAGAGAATCTTGGTTAAGCTGAGGACTTCATTTGGAAACCAGAAATGTTAACAGGTAACCATGTATTATCCTGGAAAAGTATACATTTAATCCCACAAAATTTTGTTGGGAGTTATGTTATTGARAAAGGAAACTAAGATGAATATGAGGAGGTTTTATTTAGTGGCATACTGTATTGGAAATCTAAAGGCCTCCAGCACATTTAAATTCCAACTCTTAATTTTTTAAAGATTGTGAAATTGTCAAAATACATATGTAGCAAGTTTTAATATATACTGTATGATGGGTGGATAAGACTGTCCATCGTACCATTTCTCTTGGATCACTTGGCATAGTTTGGCAGTGCAAGAACTCTATAACATTAACAAGTTCAATAAAAAAGTAAATATGTGGGGAAAAATGTATTGTGGTGATACTATGAAAGATTGAAAGAGTATTTTTTCTTTGTTATCTGTAGGAATTTGATTGGAATTACACAACATCTTTTGAATATTCGATGAAGCTCAGTCAGTAAAACCATTTACACATGTTTTCTTTGAGGAAGGTGTTCTTTTTAAATTACTGATTTGATTTTATTCGTAGTCATATAATCATTCCAACTTTCTATTTCTTACTGATTGAATTTTGGTAAATTATTTCATTAACATTTTCAAAATTTTATACCATGATGTTCAAAGAAATCTCTTTTTAATATCTTAAATCTCCTCTTAAATCTCACTCTTAAAGAAATTTTTTTTAATATCTTAAATCTCTCCTTCACTAACTAGTAGTTTTGTTACTTTTAAGGCTCATAATTTTTATTTTTGTTTTCTCTTTTTAAAAAAATCATTTTTGTTAAAGGTTTGTCAGTTTTATTCATGTTTTTTAAAGAATATTTTTTACCTCTGTTGTATCATCACCTTCTAGTTCATTAATTTCCATTCTTATCTATATTMTTTCTGAATTTGTAAAGATCTTTTCTTTTTCAATAATTAAAAATTTCCTTTTAAGTACATAGACTGTAAATTTTCTTTGAAGTCCTAYTTTAGCTATATTTCATAAGCTTGATAAATTGTTTTAATTTTAGGTCAGTTTAAAAATACTATTTCATATATATTTCAAAAATATATATGTATATGTGCTTATATAGACATGTGTATGTACAACATCTTCATACATATATGTATGTGTGTGTTTTTGCCAATATTTGTTTGAAGTATGATTTCCAGGGCTTTTTGTTGCTGTTGTTAATGAATGTAGTCTGCATAATCATAGTTACTTGAAATTTGTTGAGTCCAGAATTCATCAATCAGTTTTCTGGTGATGAGGTCTTATATTCAGATATGCTTGTTAATAGTTATGATCTGATATTCTATGTCCTTTCTCATATATGCTTAATCTTTTAAATTAAAAGATGATATACTAAATTCTATCACTCTGATATTCAATTGGTCAGTTTTTCTTGTGGTAGTTTTAATTTTTGCTTTCTGTTTTTTGAGTAAACTTATTAGATACACACAAGTTTATAATTCTTAAATTTTCTTGATATAATGACCTTTTTATCAATATAACTGTACTTGTGTAATGATGTTTTTATTTCTTAAAGTCTATTTTGTTTGATATTAAAGAGTTCCATCAATTTTCTTTCAGTTAGTATTATATATTTTCATCTTTTTTACAGACTTACATCTTTTTTTCATATAGACTAACATGCCTTCCAATATAAATGCATCTCAATTCAGACATTAATACATAAACAAATGGCTTGACAGTAATAGTTAAATATCATCAGATTCAGGCTGTACCCTGATTTAAGCTATGTTAATATGTGGAAAAATGAACACCAGGAGTTTATGAAATACAGTGCTTTTAACCTTTCTGGGTCTTTTAAGTTTTTAATTGTTTTTTAAAAACGATACAATTTGGGGGCTGGGGATATAGCTCAGTTGGTAGAGTGCTTGCCTTATATGCACAAGAGGTTCCATCCCCAGCACCACAAAACAAACAAACAAACAAACAAACAAAAATGATACTATTTGGGATTTTTAAAATCTACTCCAATAGGCTTTGCCTTTTTAAAAAATACATTTATTGGTTTTTTAGTTGTAGTTCGTCACAGTACCTTTATTTTACTTATTTATTTTTATGTGGTGCTGAGGATCGAACCTAGGACCTTATGCATGCTAGGGAAGCACTCTACCACTGAGCCACAAGCCCAACCCCTAGGCTTTGCCTTTTAAGTGAGGTGCTCAGGATATTTACTGATATATCTGTCCTTATATCTTCTATTGCATATTTTGCTTTATATTTACCCTCTTCTCTCTTCTCAGTTTTCTGTATTTCTTTTTCCAATCTTCCTCYCATCTTTCTTGCCTTTATTTGGATTGATTTTCCCCTCCCCCTATTTTATTCCTCTATTAGTTTATTCTCTATTTCTCTTTTACTGTTCCGCCATTAATTTTAACATGAAGATTTAAATTTTAAAACATTTAAAAAAWTTTTTTAAACACCTAAGGTTAATATCTATACCATTCATCCAAATAAATGAGGAATTTGCACTGCTTGAGCAATCTTTTTTTTTCTTTCTACCAGAAATTGAATCAGGGGCACTTTACCACAGAGTTACATACCCAGTTCATTTTTATTATGTTTTTAATTTTGAGACAGGGTCTTGCTAAATTGCTAAGGCTGACCTCAAACTTGTGAACCTCCTGCTTCAGCCTTACCAGTCGCTGGGATTACAGGTGCCAYAATGCTCAGCTCTATTTCTTTCTTGATGTATGTTATTGCTGTGCAGACTTTCAGTCTTCTTTTCATCTGTTTAAAATTTCACAAAGTGTAGGCATCATTGTTATTATTTCAAACCCTAAATTGGGTAGTCATAAACACATATTTCTCTTCACTTGCTTTCTCATTTTTTCACCTTATTTTCTATTCCTCTGTCATACTGATGTCCTACAGAATTTTAAATTTGGATTATGATGTATATTCTGTCTGCTCTACCTCTGGCTCTCTCTCTTCCCAATAGAAAATAGTTGAGAATGACTGTTTTTTTCTGAACTTACCTTCTCCTTGCCAAAAGGGAGCTGACCTTGAACACTACCCTGTGTGTACCCCATTGCCACTAGCTGGTAGTGCTTGTTTTCTGTCTTGTAGTGGAGATTAGACAGTCAATGATCCAACTGAGCCAAGGAAAAGAACATAGCTAGAATACTCCTACCAGCACATCTACAGTTTCTGGTTTTCTTCTCTGGAAATTCTTTCTCTTCTGAGCATTCTCAAGGGTTTTAACGTTAATTCCTTACTCTTTAGGTCTCACTGGAATTATAGTATCTCTGCATTTGGTTTTGTGAAAGGGAGTCAACAGGCCATGCTAGTTTGCCATTTTTTTAAGGAAACTATAAAGTATTTATTATTATTATTATTATTATTATTATATATTTACTGCTAAATATTTTGGATTTGCTCATTAGTAGCTTAAAAATATAGAGATGTTAATCAAATAGAACATATTTTTTACTTTCTTTCTGTTTTTTAATTTAACCTCTGCTCTTCCCAGTTCTGACAGTATCAGCAGTGATGAGGAAGAACTCAGGACTCTGGGCAGCAGTGGCAGCTCAGGAAGCAGCACTCCAGAGAAAGTGGGGCCTCCTTTCATCATGGATGAGAACAGCTGGTTCAACAAGTGTAAGAGAGTGAGACATAAGTATCAGCTAACCCTGGAACAGAAGGTACTTATCAGTTGTCAAAAGTCACTCAGTTTGGCTCCACTTATTGCCTTTGAACTGTCACTACCAGAAGACCTTTTAACTTAATAAATTATGTGCCATTGCTACTTCCCTTCTGTTTCTGAATTATCCCCTTAATTAAAAAAATCAGGCAGAGTTGTAGGAGAGGCTTTTGTTTGTTAAAAACTTTTTCTAATCTTTATGTTTTAACATAAAATAAGTCATTTTATTCTTTTGTAAGCAATTTAATTTATAAACTTGATATTATAGTCCCTATAATTCATTTTGTAAAACATTACTGGTTTGTGAAGCATATGTATGTCTGTCTTTTTTCTTAATTAGGTATATTAGCAAATCTTGTCTGCCAAACACTATATTAGGGAAAGTGGAACATATAACAGAAAGAAAAATGAACTACATTATTTTGAGTTTGTGACCTTTACTTTTTTACCATAGTATTTATTTTCCCTTCTGCCCCTTCTTTCAAATGTTCATTATTCTCTTATGTGACATATGTAGAGAAAAYACAGCGGAATTAAAGTAGAAATATTACAACAATTTAGAAATATATCCAGGAAAATGGTCATAAAATAAATTTACAAATATAAATAGATTTCCTATATCTAAACAGCAACTGCTTAGAAAATATAAGCAAAAATATCACGATTATAATAGCTATGAAAGTTTGCATAATTTATATGAAGAAAACTTTATACCCTATTACAGYAAACTTCTGGTGGCAGCAAGAAATCAGACTAAGATCATCTGAGAGCTTTTCTTCTGTAAAAATCTGAAAATGACGGTTATTATACAAATTTGAGCCTCCTGGCATTCTACCATCAAGCCGCATCCCCAGCCCTTTTTATTTTGTATTCTGAGACAGAGACTTGTTAGGTTGCCCACGTTGGCCTTAAACTTGTGGTCCTTCTGCCTTAGCCTTCTGAGTAGCTGGTATTACAGTTGTGCCTCTCTGTGTWTGGCTTAGAATACAGTTTTGTTTTTAAAGTTTTATATAGAGCTCTCTCTCAAAGAAAAGGAACTTCCTAGGGATCAGGAACATGCAAGGATGTGAAAACAGGAGGAATAAGTACATTAGTTAATACCCCTGCAAGCCCCAGAGATAGAGATAAGCCTACAATCCTTTAAATTTAGCTACTTGTTCTTTAATACCCACAGGGGAGCAACAGATAAGGCCCACCATCATTCAAAACAGAAACTGGACCTAGAAGGCAAGAGTAAATAAACATGGACTACATGAAATAGCAACAATAAGAACTATTATAGAATGGCAGTTGTGTCCTGGAATATGTTTCATAACTGGCTCTTACAGAGCAGATGGAGAGAGGAGCACTAATTTGTAGGATTTGCCAATTTCTGGGGCAAAAATTCCTACCATGGCCAACTTAGAGCCACCAATATGACATTACTGAATGTGAATTGGGAAGAAATGTACARTAGAACATGATTATGTCGTATTTCTGTCAGAAAGATGAAGTAAGACATAAATGACTATRACAACATAAATTAACAGTAAAATAATTAAGAAATGGTGAGTTTTGAGGAGTTTTTTTATATAATTCACTTAGTTGTAAGTTTATATAATTTTATCTTTAATAATAGCAGTGCTGGACTGGRGCTACAGCTCAGTGGCAGAGCACCTGCCTAGCATGTGTGAGGCACTGGGTTCAATCCTCAGCACCACATAAAAAATAAATAAATAGAATAAATAAARGCATTCTGTACATCTACAACTACAAAAAAATTTTTTTWAATAATAGCAGTGTTTAACAGCAGACTTAGAAAGCTTTTGGAAATTTAACAGTCAGCTTGTGGAGCCCATAGGAGCTGGCTGCAGCCTACCACTAGGAGTATGAAAGAAAAGCAAAATTAAAAGGCTAGAAATATCAGAAAAAGCAAGAAGGACTAGAGCACTTGCCTCACACATGTGAGGCACTGGGTTCAATTCTCAGCACCACATAAAACTGAATAAATAAATAATAAAGATTTCACTCTCCCCTCCAAAATACTTTTTAAAAGAAAAAAAAAAAAAACAAGAGGATTATGGAAGCAAGAGCCTTCAGAGATTTGATGATAATGAAGGGTAGAGACATTTTGTAATGTGCATGCCTGTTTACAAAATTAACATTTAGGAGTTGCAATTTAAAGAATAAAAATAGAATGTTTGACTTCCAAACTAGTAATGGGAAAGAAAAAAATAGGAAAAACTTGATTCATACAATAAAGGAAGCAAATAAGAAAAAATAGGTATGTTAAAAAAGAACAAAAACCAGGGGCTGGGGTTGTGGCTCAGTGGTAGAGCACTCACCTAGCATTTGTGAGGCCCTGGGTTTGATCCTCAGAACCATATAAAAATAAATAAAATAAAGGTATTCTGTCCAACTACAACTAAAAAATAATTTTTAAAAAAGAACAAAAACCAAAGCAGTATAAATAGATTTGAGTAATAACCAGAAAAGTCAATATCACCATAAAAGTAAGTGGCACAAACTTACTAACTTACCATTAAGGCAAACAGATTTGTTGAAAACATAATTATAAAATTTATATGCTGTTTATAAGAAAAGTGCATAAGGGGCTGGGGCTGTTGCTCAGTGGTAGAATGCCTGCCTCGCATGTGTGGTGCACTGGGTTCAATCCTCAGCACTGTATAAAAATAAATAAATAAAGATACTGGGTTCATCTACAATTAAAAAAAATATTTTTTTAAAAAAGAAAGATGCATAAAATATAATGACAAAAAAGTTGAAACTAGGGAAATAAATAAACCATGCAAATATGAACCAAAATAATTCTGTATCAGACCAATGACTCAGAAGGCTGAGGCAAGAGAATCACAAGTTCAAGGCCAGCCTTGGCAATTCAACTGTGATCCTGTCTCAACATAAAAAATAAGGAAGGCTGGGAATGTACCTCARTGTTGGAGTGCCCCTGGATTCAATTCCCATTATTCTACATGCACAAAAAAAGAATTCTGTATCATAATCATTAAACATAGACATTAAAGGTACAAAGCATTATTAAGATTAAAGAAAGGCATTGTCTTTTTAAAACGAAAACTCACTGAGAATGTATAACATGGCTAAATTTACATACATTTAATAATATAGCCATGAAAAATATGAAGCAAAAGTTAATTAGAATATGTAGGAGAGAAATTAACAAATCCAAAATCGAATTAGGTAATTTTAATATCCTTCAAAGTAATTTATATATTGAACAGACAAAACGTCTGTAAGATATAGTAAGCTTGAACAAAACAATACATAAACTTGATCTAAAATACATTAATTTTGACAAAATATACGTTTTTGTTAAGCACAAATGGAATAGCTGAACAATTTTTATCAAACRTATAGGTCACAATACAAATATCACAATATAGATATCACTAAAAACATGATATAATGGTAATCATAATGCAATAAAGTTAGATATCAATAAAAAGTTTATCACCACTCACATATCACCTAGTGGAATTTTTGAAAACTTTCTAAATATGAGTAAAAAAGAAATGAGGAAATAAAAATAAAGGACAATGAAAACAGTGCATATTAACAGTTGTTAGCTGCAACTTGTATGATACTTGTACAAATACTATAAGGAAGAAAAATAAGTATCTTACAGTRGGCAAAGAAAACCAAACCAGTTCAAAAAAAGGAAAATAATGAAATAATTGATACTTATGATATAACAGATATAAAAAACAGATTAATAAAAACTGCTTATTTACAACAACTAGCAAAAGCGATGAATCTTAGCAGGAATAATTTTTATTAAAGTTAAGGCACAGATAGACAATTTTAAGAATTAAAAAAATAGATAGCATACCTGCAAAAGCAGCAAAAACTTGCCCCAAAATGGTGGTGCATGCATATAATCTTGGGAGCATCTTGGGAGCCTGAGACTCGTGATCACAAGCTCAAGGTTAGCCTCAGCAATTTAGTCAGGTCCTACCCAACTTAGCAAGACTCTGTCTCAAAAAATAAAAAGGGTTAGGAATGTGACTTAGTGGTTAAGCACCCCTGGGTCTAATCCCTGGTACCCCCCCAAAAAAAGAATAATTTTTACCATTTTATATCARTGCCTTAGAAAACTAAATGAAGAATTTTTTTTTCTGAGTCTATTTCTCCTATCTTCTTTATTTGTAAAATGGAAACACAGAAACAACTGGAGTATGTTTTACATTAAACCAAATAGGAATTATGACATTAATTAAGAATTTCTTTAAATGTTATTTATCAAAATTGATAGACCCATAACTATTTTAAGAATTGAGTAAATGGTCTAAAATCTGTCTGCCTATTAATCATCAGACCTGTATGTTTTGGAGAAAATTCTAACAAATTTTCCAAAGTCAGCGATCCTGATTTTATACTGACTATTTCTGAGAAGTGAAAAAGAAATAATATTCTTCAACAAATTAAGTGAATCCAGTATAACTTTAATAGAATTTAAGGTCATGTGAATATAATATCAGGTAGAAATGTGTATAAAGCAAAAATAATTATAAGAAACAATTTGACATTATCTGGTACCTATGTCCTACCAATTCTGCTCCTAGGCATGTTTCCTAGAAACTCTTGGATGTATGTACCAGGAAACATAACTGTGAATGGATTCACAGCAGTATTGCTTATGTTAATCCAAATGACCATTGTCTGTAAATGGCAATTCACATGGCATACAATATTGAGAATAAATGAATTATATAGCTAGACTCATCAATGTAGACAAAAAAAAAAAAAAAACAACCCTAAATTTCAAAAGAATATAGACAGAACTCAGGGAAACTGAACAATATATTGTTTGAGATGATACGTCATAACCCTAGGAAGAAAAGCAAAGGATGATAAATATAAATTTCAGGATATTATTATACTTGCAGAGGAGGTGCAAAAGAGTGTAATTTAAAAAATTTTTTTAAATATATTTTTTAGTCATTGATGGACTTTATCTATCTATCTATCTATCTATCTATCTATCTATCTATGTATCTATTTATTTATTTATTTATGTGTAGTGCTGAGAATTGTACCCTGTGCCTCATACATCCCAGGCAAGCACCCTACCACTGAGCCATAACCCCAGCCACCATAAGAGTGTAATTTTAAAAGAACCTGACACTGACTCTTAAAACATGCTGATTGATCTGAGTGGTAGATATAATTTTTTCTTTAAAGAGAGAGAGAGAGAGAATTTTTTTTAATATTTATTTTTTGGCGGACACAACATCTTCGTTTGTATGTGGTGCTGAGGATCGAACCCGGGCCACACGCATGCCAGGCGAGCGCGCTACTGCTTGATCCACATCCCCAGCCCAGTAGATATAATTATTCCTTAAATATTATTTGAAAATATTCAAATATAGTTTATGTTAAGATGTAATTTTTGAGAATTTATTATGGAAAAATTAATGTTTGAGAATTGTCAGAAAAGGTATGGAAAATAAGTTTGTGAGGGGGAAATAATATGAGTTAATATTAGCAAGTATCATAAAGCTTAGAGCTGAAACAGTTGATGACACATGAATAGGATACCATGTACTGATTTAGAAGAATAATAGAAACAACAAAGAAAAGATCCTGGTCAATATCCTCAGAAGAAGTTGAAAGCACATTGAAACTAAAAATAGGACACGGCACTGGTAGAATGTATGCTTAGCATGAAGGGCCCAGGGTTTAATACCACCCCCAAAGGGAATAATCAGAAAACATGAAAGAGCTATTAAAAATTAAAATGATGTCTGATTCAAATATTTCAGAACAAAAATTTAGAGGATAAATTTAATAATGTTTCCCAGAAAATATAAAATAAGAGTAAATGAGTAAAAGGATAAGAGATCTAAGTCTCATATCTACCAGGTGTTTGTTAATAATAATARCTAATAATTATATATCAYGTATAATGTAGTAGACACAGTTCTAAAACAGTTTGCAGATTTGATTTATTTAGTACTCCTAACTAGGTACTCATGTTGTTCCCACTTTTTTAGGGGATGAAACTATAACGGAGAGGTTAAGTGATTTGCTCAAAGACCCATAGCTAATAACTGGTAAAACTAGAATGATACTGGACAATCCATAAGCCTGTAGGCCTAACAAAAGCATTATATAGCCTTTTGCTGACATGTCAATGCTAAAATATTAATATCTGCATTTAAAAAAAAATGTTCAGCCCGGCATGGTGGTGCACACCTRTAATCCCAGCAGTTCGGGAGGCTAAGGCAGGAGGATTGCAAGTTCAAAGCCAGCCTCAGCACACACCAGGTGCTAAGCAACTCAGTGAGACCCTGTCTCTAAATAAAATACAAAATAGGGCTGGAGATGTGGCTCAGTGGTTGAGTGCCCCTGAGTTCAATCCCCAGTACAAAAAAAAAAAATTCATATAGAGGAAGCTTTCTGATTGGTTATTCTGTAATTAGGTCTGTTTTTTGAAGCTAGCCATATGTATTTATTGCTTTTGTGGAACTTGGAAATTATAATATTTTAACTAAGATTTGCTTTAAACTTAAAATATATTTGCTCAGACTTTACAGAAGAGGTTTAAAGAATGGATAATATGTATTAAATTTTTGTATTCAATTAAAACAATATTTTTTTACTAATTCATTAATAAAACTTTATTACAAGAGCAATAGTAATGAGATTTAAGCTACTCAGCATTTATATTCAAGGTCTCTATTAGAATTTTACAGTTGCTGTTATCTTGGTGATATCATATTTCCAGGGGTATCTTGAAGAACTCTTACGACTTCGAGAGAACGAACTGTCTAAATCTGTCTCCCAGAATAAACTACTACTTCAAAGGATTGAGGATTCTGAGCTGGCTCATAAATTAGAGAAGGAACAATTAGAGTATATAATTGTGGAGCTTCAAGATCAGCTGTAAGTGATATCTTTTTAGAAAAAAAAAAATTGGCAGTATATAAACATTAGGACAAAATGTATCTTGCCATAGAATTTGAATTCTAAGAAATATGATGGCTTTTAAATTCTTTCACTTATTATTTTTAAATGTTTATTTTTGCTTTTGTTACTATAAAAGTAATCCGAATTTATTGTAGAAACACTAGAAAATGTAAGAAGAAAATTAACTCACCTGCAATTGTACCACACAGAGTTAACTGTATTATAAATGGGTATATATTCTTCCAAATGAAAATGTATAATTTTTAAGTATTTATTTAGTTGAATAAGTTATTTATTGACTGATGTATTGAAAAAGATGATATATTAGACCATTGCTACTCAAAATGCAACTATGGTGTATAAACTATTCCTAGGTTGTGCCAGAATATCACTGTGCAGTTTAGTATATAGCTTTCTTTTTTTTTTTTTTTTTTTTTTTTTTAGCTAGGCTTTCTTTAATGAAGAAAACTGTAGTATATTGATTAAGCTTTCTGATAAAATAAGCTCCCTATCACCATTTGAAGCATTTGTACTAATTACATCATTCTGTCATGTTTGTTTTATTATTTATAGTGAAAATCTTCACAAATTAACATTTTTTGATCTTGAGATGATTTTTTATTTTGAAATAATTTTGAACTTTCAGAAAACTTTTGAGGATAGTATTTAGAATTTCCTTATCTTCTTTTAACATTTTTGCCTTATAATTCTCCCCTTTTTCCTATATACATGTACATATTTTTAACCACTTGAGAGATTACATCCATCAAAATTCTTTGTACCTTAGTGCTTTAGTGTTGCGTTTCTGAAGAACACAGATATTCTCATATATAACTGCAGTTCAATGATAAATTTAAGAAATTTGAGTTGATACACTGCTTATCTACAATTCATATTCTAGTTTCATCAGTTGTTCAAATGTCCCTTTTTGTAAGTTTGATTTTTCTGGTACCAGATCCAGTTTAGGCTCATGTTTTATATTTGGTTATTGGTTTCCTCAGTCATTTTAAACATAGAACAATTTCCCAGTCTTTGTCTTACATGAGGTTAATGTTTTGAAGAAGATAAGCCAATAATTTTATATTTGTGTTTGGTTTTTCCATGTGACTAGAATGAGCTTATCAATTTTGGCTAGGCTACAGCATCAGTGGTATGTTTCTTCAGGTACATAGAAGTTAAGGAAGTATGTTGGCCCTTTGTTGACTATATTAATTTTAATCATTTAGATAGGTATTTTTCTCTTCTGTTTTGTTACTGTTGTTTTTTGTAATTAACAGGTAATATGTAAGGAGATATTTTGAGTCTAAATATAAAAGATGAGTTTTTAACTTTAAAAAAAAAGTTTTTTTCAGGAAAATAAAGCACCTTACTATTTTCTAGGAATTTATATCTTTTTTTTTTTTTTTTTTTTTTTTTTTTTTTGGTACCAGGGATTGAACTTAAGGGCATTCAAATGAGCCACATCCCTAGCCCTATTTTGTATCCTATTTAGAAGCAGGGTCTCACTGAGTTGCTTAGTACCTCACCATTGCTGAGGCTGGCTTTGACTCACCATCCTCCTGAGCCACTGGGATTACAGGCATGCACCACTGTTCCTGCCTAGGAATTTATATCTTGATTTGACCTCTTCTGTTTTTTCTGATACTATAAAGAGGATTTGTCTTGTAGGGTATCACTCATTGAGGAGCAGGTCCACATCTTTCGTCCCCCTCACTCTAATAAGTAGGGAGAAAAAACATCAAGAACTAAATCAATAGAGATTTCTGGTTATTCCTTTACAATTAAAAGATTAAGAAGATAATTTCATTTTTCTTTTGTAAAGTATTACTGGTAATTTATCTAACTGCTTTTAATCTAAAAATAATTATGCAGTTTTTGTTTTATCTAAAGATATTTTTATTTGAAGATTGAATTTAAATAGATCAAAATTGTATTACTTTTGATAATTTAAAATAAACAAAGGCTCAAAAACATTTTAGTTTTTAAGAAAATAATCCACTTAAGTTACAGTTTTATCATACTTCCATGGTAGAAACTGTCATTGATCCTTTTCATTTTGCAAAGGAACCTTATAGTCGTGTTTAATACCTTTAAGATTTTAACTAAATATATTAATAGGGCAATTAATACAAATTATGGGCATTAATCAGAATTAGACTATTTTCTTGATTTCACATGTTAAAGGTTTACATTCTATAATATGACCACAATCTCTAGGTAGTGTAAATTATTGTCCCAAAAGATTCCTTTGTTATAAAAAACTACCTTAAAGACTACTGAACAGGAGAATAAGATGAATTCATCTATGAATGGTCACAGTTCACTAGTTTGTCAAAATTAGTTTMAAATATGTGAAATAATATGATTGTTTTTTGTAGCTAGGGAGAGAGCGAACAATTTTTCCCCTTAATATTGCTACAATTTTTTTTCACAAGAGTTCTAAAGGCCTGCAACCAAAGCTGGCCACTGAAATTCCCTTTGTTCATCCTGAGAAGATAAAAGTGGCCTCGAGAAAGATTAAAAATTTAAATGTATCTATGGAAAAATCAAAAAAGGAATATTAAGAGGTAGAATATGAGGCATATAATATTTGCTTTTACATTATGTTATTTTTTCCTGGTCATTTATATCCTTTGTCACCTTTTTTATATTTCTTAATGATTAGCTGTATTTGAATTACCATTATTCTTTGATTATGTCTTTGGGTACTCATAAAATCTGAATATTTTGTAGTTTTGGTGATAGAATACAAGTTACTGTGGAGTAGAACAAAAGCATCCTAAAGCTTTTTTGCAAATCAGAACCGTCTAGATAATGACTTTATACTGCCAGTTATGAGCTCTGCCTTAAATTAATTAATATCTTGAAGCTTCTGCTTCTTCATCTCTGAGAGAGAAATAATGTTCATTTTTTAGATAATTGAGTGTTATGTATAACTAGGAATATAACTGTGAAATAGAAGATATTAAAAAAATATTCAATTTATTCCTCTGCTTTGGTCTGTAGCAACCTAAAATATCCTTATTTAAAAAATTAAACTTCATTCAACAAAATAAACATAATCAAACAAAGTATTAGTTATATTTTGGATCAACATGGAAAGTTTGTTACAAATTATGAAATGTTTTCTATTTATTCATGAAGAAAGATAAATAGGAAATTATAAGGGGTTTACTTTTTCATGCCGAATGCTACAGATCAAACAGTGACTTGACTGTATTATCCCTCAGTTTCAAGAAATTCATTTTGAGTTGTAATTTCTAAATGACATTTGGCTAAAATCATGGTATGTATTTGTGTATACAATGTGTGTGGGAGACATACATGTTTAATTACTATTTAACAAGTGTCACTTGTAACTATAATTATTTTACTCATTGTGTTTGGTAAAATGCTAATTTGGAGCATTTTATAAGGTATTGACAAAGGTACAGTTGAATAAGTTTATAGTTGGTAGAATTTTAAAATATTGAACCATTTAAAATATGCATATATGATTAGGAATACTTTTATTTCATTGATGAAATCTGTGAGTCGCTGGGATTACAGGCATGCACCACTGTGCCTGCCCAGGAATTTATATCTTGATTTGACCTCTTCTGTTTTTTCTGATACTATAAAGAGGATTTGTCTTGTAGGGTATCACTCATTGAGGAGCAGTCCACATCTTTCGTCCCCCTCACTCTAGTAAGCGGGGGAAAAAAAACATCAAGAACCAAATCAATAGAGATTTCTGTTATTCCATTACAATTAAAAGATTAAGAAGATAATTTCATTTTTCTTTTGTAAAGTATTACTGGTAATTTATCTAAATGCTTTTAACCTAAAAATAATTATGCAGTTTTTGTTTAAAGATATTTTCATTTGAAGATTAAATTTAAATAGATTTAAATAGTTGATTTTATCTTGCATCAGTAACTTTTAACTTCATTTTACACATTAAAAATTATTCAATAAAGTAAACATAACCAAGCTTAAAGTATAAGTTATATATTAGATCAGTATATAGAATGTTTGTCATAAGATTATGAAATGTGTTCCATTTGTAGCCTTTTAATTATATATTTATTTATGCTGATTAGTGGGAAATTTTTATTTTTGAAGTTACTTCCATTCAATAAGCTTTTATTTTCCAAGCAGTTTGGGAGACTGGGGCAAGAGGATCATGAATTCAAAGCCAGCCTCAGCAACTTAGTGACGCACTTAGCAACTCAGTGAGACCCTGTCTCTAARTAAAATATAAAAAAGGGGCTGGGAATGTGTCTCAGTGATTAAGCAATCCTTGGTTCAATCCTCAGTACCCAAAACAAACAAACAAAAAATTTATTTAAACATGTACTTTGTTCTTGGGATTCCACTAGTAGCTGAGAATACAAATAATGAGGCATGATCTCTTTTTATAAGGACTTGCATGTGAGGTAGATACATTAACATCATCAATCACATTGCTATTCAAAGAATCATGGCTCACTTAGGAATAGATAAATTATTACAGTTCGTAGCCATACGTAAAAGGGAGGATTTGTCAACATACACAGGTTTAGATCCTCAGGTAGATGATCTGCTACACAAATGGCCTCTTTATAAAATATGCATAGCAAACCTTAGGAATAGCCAACTATAGAACAATGTGTAAAACCTGAACACCTGAGAGACAGCCAGTATCCTTCAAGATAATATGTGTCTAGACATTCTGATGAAACCTACTTCCACTGTTCCCTTTACTTAGCTAGGTTTTTGGGGAACAGAAAAGGGCATTTAGGAACATGGTGTTTTATTATCCCCTTTTTCTTTATGAACAACATAATGGGGGAGTGGTGTTATCATGGCCCTCTTAAAAATGGATAAATTATGACAGTTTCTAGTCATCTGGTCAGGAATATATTTTGTCAGGTAACAATTGTTATTAAAGTTTTAAATTACAACAGTGTTAATATAGAATATATACTTCATTGCCATATAAGGACAAAAATATT